CAACTTCTTTCTTTGATTTTGAGAGTCCTCTCTTGTTCTCCCACCTTTCTTAGTATTCTTTCTCACTTTTGGAGTCCCTCTTTATCTACCCCTTAAATATTAAACTCTTAATTTTTCTGAGATCTGCCCTTAGCCTGCTCTTCTTTCTGTTTCTAAATTCCAAACTTTCAAATTTGCCTCCCCAATATAATCCTTTCTCTGGGGTACCATTCACACTTTTCATTGTACACATCTTATTCTCATATTCCCGTAAGAATTGTTCATGAAATAGGTTCATACTGCTGCTCCTCCAGATTTTCTTACTAGGGATGTAGTCCCACCAGCCAGACATGCCCCCAATGAGAGATCTGGGATATGTTTGTAGCTCTATTTTCCTTTATTTTCCACACTTTCTCACTTTCCTCTTTGGTCTGTTTGTATCATCCCTCCCTTCAACCCCTTTCTCCTCATTATAACTTTCCCATTTTACATCAGAGCCTCAACTGTGTCTATATCAATGTCATTGTTGCAAAACTCTGGTCCCCTTTCCTACATGCTCTCCTGCTTATCCGTTATCTGCTGACAGTATCATTAATTTTCTTTTCTACTTTTCAAAAAATTGCACAGTTTGATTATGTCTTATATATGATTTCATTTTGCCTGAATGTTCATAAAAACCTGTATATAATACCATGGCATATATTTTAATTTGGGACTAAGCGTTCATGACAGCAGAGTAAGAGAAAAATAGCATAGGTATTTGGGCACATTGGTATTTTCCACTAATTTCTATTCAAATAAAATTGTGTAGGTCACTTTCTTATATTATACTCACTATTAAGACAAAAGCCCAGTATTAATTTAGTTTCTTCATTGACAGTAAAATGAAGTAGATTACCTAAAATCTGAGTTTATTATTTATAAATGGTCTTAAGCCATTTAAGATATGGTTATATTTGTCAGTACTAGAATTCTTTGTTTATAAAATCAAAGTAATATTCTCTCATTGTGGCAGTCAAAAACCCCTCAAATTTCTTGGTAAAACTTTATCCTCACATCTAATTTACTATGTGAAGTTGCTGTGTGAACATCGTATCTTGCTAATAATAGATGTACTGCCTTTAGAATATAAGATGTTCCTCTCTTATGGAAGAGGAAAAAACAATTCAAACTGATCTGGAAGAAATGCCCCAGACTTGGAAATCAGGAAGGCTTGGGAGCTGTGCTGCTGATAGCCCCAATGCTACAGCGAAATACTTTCCTTCCCTTACTCCAAAGTTTATACTTTTTCTATTTTGTTATTTTGGACATTCTATTTTGTTGTTTTGGACCACTTAGTGTGTTGTGGTCTTTTTAAAAGACTGCTTTTAAGGCCTCCCTGGTGGCGCAAGGGGTTAAGCACAGCACTATGAGGCAATCTGCAGCCTCTGCAGCACTAGTTCGATCCCCGGCCGGCCAGGGAGAGACCACATGGCGAGGCAGACCTCTCCTGTCTCCACCTGCTGCTCCCCTCAGCAGTGTATTTCAGTCAGTCTGCCTGTTCTGTTCCCCACTCTGTCTCTGGTGAATCCTCTCGCCTCCCACATCTCTGGCCTGTACCCCAGTTCTTGTATGCATAAATAAATAAATCTTAAAAAAAAGACTGCTTTTAAATTTACAGTGTATCTCACAGTATTGACATTTTAGAAATGAAATCTGACTGCCTGACTTTGGGTGAATCACCAAGAGGTGTTAGTTTTCTCATTTGTAAAAATAAGGGATTCTTACCAGAGTATTCTTTCTGTTCTAAAAGCAGGTGATTAGAACCATCAAAAACATTTAATGCCAAAATGGAGGGCATTATACTAATGTATGAGAAGGTTTAGAGAGAATAAAATTCTACTGTCAACCCTCTGGGAAAGCTGCAGACATTCAGGGGAGGTGTGGCCGAAGCTCAAGGTGTTCCTGAAGGTCCTCAGCAGCCTTAATTGCAAACAAAGAACATTCAATTTAAGTGCTTAAGAGTCCTGGCAAGGGAGTGTGATCACCTGGATGAGTCAGCCAGGGCAGTGCTTCCAAAAAGTCTGGCACTGGCTGAGGAGCCAGTTGGCAAGAACAGAATCCCACAGCCAGCTGGGAGAATTTGGACCCACACTACTGGGAAAAGCTGTCTTGATGCATGGTTAATGCAGATGATCATTACCATTCATCCAGAAAAGACATGACTTAGATTTGAAGAGTTTGTCTATAATATACATAAGATTTTGGGTAATGGATTATGAGAAAAGTGCTTGGAAATCAGAAACCAAGATGACCTTTTGAAATTTTGTAGTGATTAGTTAGTATTCTTCCTTTCACTCATCATTCATATTACTAAGATGCTGTAAGATGGGAAGGAATGGACACAGGGCAGGTTTTCTGATCCAGCAGACTGGGTAAAGGAGAAGAGAGTCCTGGAAGCCTCAGTAGCTTTTGCAGGCTTTTATTGGGATTTACCGGGTACATGGCAGGTAGGGGTGCTACCTGGCAGGCCTCCCAGACCCAAACAAGTCTTCACTCTTTCTGGGTTCTCCGGCATTCTCTGGTGGTCTCTGCTGTTCTGCTCACTCGATTCTGCTTCCACTTCTTTGCTTCTGCTGGCATCCCTGTGATACCGCCCTTAAAAAGCACAGTCTTAGCCCAGGTGAATCCCATCTACATATGCCCACACCCTACTCCAGGTGCCCACCATCAGGCATGCATTCAGGACCGCAGGGTTCCATCATCTATCCTAATGGCAGGAGGGCAGAAAAGCCTGATACTTTTACCTTACCCTACAGATGCTGCTCTCAATCTATTTTTTTCCCTTGAAAAGCTCAACTCTGAAACTGAAAGAAAATGGTGGTAACATATCTGCTTCTCCGCTGCACAGAGTAGCCTGTTCTCCAGGCTCTGCCCACCCACCCCCACCCCACCTCAGGTCTTAGTCTCCTTTCATTTCCTTGGACCAGAAGCTGGCACATTCTGTCTCCTCCAGGGTAGGCCAATGTGGTAGGAGCAGAAGTGTCTTCATTCTCACTTCAGATAAAGTTAGCCCTTGTTTCTCTGCAGAGTCTCTTTCTCCTCATCCTTTCTCCAGAGAGAATTTGCTGTATTTTAGAGCAGTAAAGTTTGGGTTGCTTAGATTCCACATCACTTTTAGAATTGGAAAGTTTGTTAGTGTCTAATATGCCATTAAACATTTAGGGGATATTGAATAATTAATCCAAAGCAAAGTCTCTTTCTCTCTCTCTCTTTCTCTCGTTTTGCATATCCTTATTAAATTCAACATGAAGATGATGTAACAGAAAACCTCCAGCCTATTCTCAACTTATCCAGTGGCTACTATTTGCTATATGCTCTACACATTTCTTGAAAAGAAGGAAGAAAAACTCTGGCATGATTTAGTTTCTCTTATTAGGAAGATGACATTTACATCTATGAAATGAGAAATGATACAAGACAGTATAGGATTAAAGGCAACTTCTGTTTGATCAGGGCCAAAAATAGAAACTTTGGAAGGTACTGTGGGTATTCTGAAGAGTTAGCACTGACCAGGTTATTGGGGAAGGCTTTTTCCCAATAATAAACCTTCCTGGATCATGGTGCCAGAGCCTGAGGCAGAATGAAGTGGAGAAAGAAATGAGAAAAGTTGTAGCAAGATGTGCTGGGCTGGTGAAAGGCAAGGTGATAAATGTGTGTGGGAGACAGGTTATGCAGGGCTGTGGAGATCAGCTGAAGAATTTCTCACCTATAAAACTGGTAATACCTCTCTTTAAAATCATAAACGTAGTAAATGGTTTAGATGATGGTTAAAGACATGACACTCATAAGAGTGCAAACTGGCAGAACTTATTTTGGAGAGGACTTAGACTTAGAAACATGTCTGGTTTCTAACAGAAAAAAAGAAAATAAGTTAGGTGTTCAAAAAAGTCCACTGTCGTTATATATAATCTTTTTAAAATGGTGCTATAGAATCATAGTAAAACATACGAAACAACCATAATATATTTATATTAAATTTAAAAAATAAAGCTTTATTAAAAAAATGTTTAAGTATATCTACATAGAAAAAATCTACATAGAAAAAATCCTAAATCCTGAATATCAATAACAATTATCTTTGGGAGGTAGAATCACTTATAATTTCTATTTTCTTCTTGTTGCTTGTCAGATTTTCTAAATCCCCTTCAAAGAACATGTTTGCTTTTGTAATAAAGAAGAAAATCTTTAAGTGGTAAACCTATAACAATGATATATTTCTTTAATCTGAAATCTTGTGGTTCCCACATGCCTGCTGGTAAGAAAGGGGTGTGTGTGTGTGTGTGTGTGTGTGCACGTGTGCGTGTGTAAATCCACAATTTAGGTATTCAAGGATGCATGACAGAGGACCATTATTTCCTGAGATTTTTATTGAAATAATTCACTTGGAGAGTTAGGAGAAAGCAATGATGTTAAACTTTTTCTTAAATGTTCCCAAAAGCTAACTAGTTTTTTTTTTTTTTTTTGAGTTGGTAGTGTTATAGATATTGAACGGGTTGCCTGGCTGTGGGTCCTCACCGGCGTGCTTAAAAGGGATTTATTAATACTCCACTACAGACACACACAAAAGGTTAATAAAAGGTTTATTTACAAGGGAAAAGGAAATAAGGAACATGTACAACTCAGGGAGAAAATAGGGAAGTAAAGTCTTTAATGCATCCTACCCGATCCGACGACCTGGAAACCCAAAAAGCACTCTCAGAGCTGGCCGGATGCGGCGAGCTGGCGGAGAGCCAAAATGGGGGAACCCCTCCAAAGCCCACGTGTCTGGCTTTATACCAACCTGGTTGCTTAACCCCACCCTCAGATCCAGCCACCTTCCCTTTGGTGGTGATGGGATTTGGAGTTCCCAGTGTCTTTGGCTTTGGCCTGGAGTGGGGGGTGGAGTCCACAAAGCCTGTATGGAATTAGCTTTAGGACATCCTTTTCCCCCTAACAGTAGCACAAGTAACCAAAAAATGTGAATTTTTTTTTGTGTGTAGATCATTGTCCCCAGAGTCCAAGATGAAAAGAACAAGTCTCCAATGCCTACTGGGGCTGAAAGCCTGGTTGCCTCTCCTTTATCCGAAGCTATGACCAACCAGATGCCATTGCTCAGCACTCCTGAGCATGGGACAGAGAACCTGGAAATGAGAACTCCAAGTCCCATTTTTATTTTACAGCAAGAAAAGTTGATGCACAAAGGTAAGAGATACCCATCAATCAATCATTGCATCTACAATGTGAGGAACACCAAAGAAAGATGGCCTCGAAAATCTCTTCCAGGGAGAACAGATTATGACTCCAAATAGGGCAGATAATACACTTTTCTACATCATTATGCATACAATTGGAAAACTGGATGGTTGTGGAACAAATCTAGTCAATAAAAATTTTTAAAGCTTATTTGTGTGCTTTTTGTTATTAATTTGAAAGCCTTTAGAGAGGATTGTACTCTCATGTTTGCCACAGTCCCTACCACTCCTTATTGTATTACATGTGGCCTTCACACATGTAGACATTTGATTTTTGATTCCTAGATTATAGAAGAGAAACAAATTAAAATCTACATTGTGATTCATCAATATACTTTCTTTGAAGTTAATATCTACAGAAATTAATCATTATATACATAGTTTCTGAAGAACAGGCAAAAGAAACAACATCTTTCCCCAAAAGTTTAAATTGTCTTGAAAACAAGCTGCACAATATGTTATTTTATAATTATTTTTATGAGTGGAGGTTGTGAAAATCCAGTGTTCCTTTCTGTTTGGTCTAAGGAGTCTTCCTGGAAGAGGGAAGATTTAGAAGTTTTGAAAGTAAATGAATCAAGATAGACTGCAAATCTGTGGAAATGATTTTGGGAAACAGAGAGAGGGCCAATTTTGCTTTTGAGAAATGAAGTTATGGCATACAAACCATCTCACAGAACATAAGTCTCAGCCATCAAGTACCTATTTGGTTTTTATGTTTTTGTGACTTCTTCCACCTGAGAATCAAATCCTCACCGAGGAAATCTGAATAAGACACTAAAGGAGTACTGTGCAATAAGAGGAGTTCAAAGAATAGTTTTATAGTTGTGATTCTCCTGTGCTTCTTTTTTTAATTTTATATATATTTTTATGACATTTTTCATTTTTGCACAATGTATACATTTTCATCTTGGTTATAGTTCCCATACAATTCCCACCCCTCTTGTTTTGCTCCTACTCACCCCCCTCCAACCCCATAGTGTGTCTCTGATTTATAGTTGCTTGTTGATTTTGATTTTTACTTTACTATAATTAGCCTTTTTCCTGGTTCCTTATTTAGGTTTTCTAAATTCCTGCTATAAGTGAGACCATCCAGTATTTTTCTTTTTCTTTCTGGCTTATTTTGCTGAGCATGATCCCTTCCAGCTCCATCCAAATTGTATGAGTTTATCTTTTTTGATTGCTGAGTAATATTCCATTGTGTATATGCACCACATCTTCTTGATCCAGTCATCTATTTTTGGGCATTTGGGTTGTTTCCATAGCTTAGATATTATAAATAGTGCTGCTATAAACATAGGGGTGCAGGTGCCCTTTTGAATTGATGTTTCTGTGTCCTTTGGGTAAATACCTACGAGTGGAGTTGCTGGATCATATGGAAGCTCCATCTTCAGCAAGTTGAGGAATATCCACACAGCTTTTCATAGTGGTTGGACCAGCCTTCCTGTGCTTTTTTTTTTTTTTAACAGTGGATGTGTTTCTAAAATTTATTTCTAAACTGACTTTAGAAGGTCATGTTTATATTGCAAGAGCTGCTTTTTAAATTGTGCTATAAAGACAGTCCTTCATTTTACTTTGTAACTTGAAAGGATTTTCCCTTTTTTTGTAGGCACAATTAAATGTGATCATGTGGTGCTTTCTATGAGCAAGCTTGAAGGGAATGTGTGCAGAAAACCAAAATCAGCTTCATTCCAAATATTAATTTTATTTTAAATCAAATCCAAAGTAAATGAAGAAATCCTTTCTCCTGTCAACTAATCCCTTTAAGAGTAAAGATACACAGTGCCATTTTCAGGAAAATATGCATTTCAAATGGGCTGATGAAGATCAAAAATTTTTATGTTTTCAAAGGAATGAAAATGTAATGGTGGAGTTTCAGGTGATGGAGGAAATATTCTGGGTATATCAGGCAACCCTTCTTATACTTAGAAGTTTATTTTCTTGGGATCTGAGTATGCACGGGGTATAAATTCAGAAAGCTTTTACTTTTCATCTTTTCAGTGAAACAGAAACCTATAATAACACAGTATCATTTTCTCACGCTAGACCCTAGATGTTTGGAAGTCCTGAAGCCTGGAAACTGTGATAACTATGTGGTTCGATGGTATTATGACAGACAGGTCAACTCTTGTGCCCGTTTTTGGTTCAGTGGCTGTAATGGCTCAGGAAACAGATTCTACAGTGAAAAGGAATGTCAAGAAATCTGCGTTCAAGGATGAGTAAGTAACTAAACTTGGAATGAATCAGGTCTATGTCTCTATCAACAAGTCTAGGAAGAAATGCTATAATTTCAAAAAATTCACCCAGTATAAATACAGCACCATATTTGAATATATACTAAGGTGTTTATAATTTACAAACATAAGCAAATCCTTATACCCAACCTAGGATGTAGGTATTATATTATTAATCATTTTTACAGATGGAAGACTTTGAGGCCCTGAGACATTTAGTAACTGATCAACTATCATCCAACTAAACATCAGCAGAGTTTGAAATCTAACTATGGGCCTTGTTACTTCAAGACACAGGCACTATCTGCTTCACCACCTGCAATGTGGTCCTGATTCATTTTGATTCCTGTTCTATGCATTTTGTTGGATTAAAGTCTTCCCTCAGCTAACTTTCTCTCCTGCATCCCTTTCCCCCAGTCCCTCCCACTCACCTCACTCAGTCCCCCAACCCCTTCACAGTTTGCCAGTAGCAAAGAAGGGACTTGGGTTTGGGAAAGGTAAGTGATGAGAGTGTTTATACACAGGAAGTAGCAAGCTAAGATATCTTGCTTGGGGGAAACCCAGCAAGATGAAATGGTTCTGAGAGAGGAGATACCCTGAGATAGGAGTGTCATGGTGAGCATAATTAGATTTTTGTTTCACTCATTTCATTTGCACTGAAAGTGATTAAGAAACCAATGTGAATTAAAATTACTTATCTCATGAATTAACAACTGTCATTTCCCACTCCTCCAATATGTTTGCTAACAACGCCTTTATTGTATGTTTAAACTATGTATTTAAAACCAAAACTGTAATTTAAGTACCTTTCCTTTAGGTGAATCTGTAAAATATGTAAATGAGACCTTCAGTTTTAGAGAATGGATGAGAAGGTACTTGACAACGGAGAACTACTTGAAGCCCACATCCACTCCTGAACAGAGGATTTTTAAGAGATAGGATTTACTGAAAAATGAGCCACCAAATTGAACTATGACTCAACAGAGAAATAGAGAATTCAGCTCTGTCATTTTATAATAATTTTGCAACATCCAATCTGGGAAGATCATTAGTCTAAACTGAGCTCAGACAGCATTGTGTATATGTCATCTCACAGCATACTTTCTTCTTTCAGGTCAGTGACCCTCATTTAATTTCGGCAGTGCCTAAAAGAACTAAAGGAAGGAGGCGATGGAAGCACAGCCAACTTAGCAGAAACAATTTCATGTAGCTTAATTACATGCTTATGTAATACTTGATTCTACAAAAGAATATATGCAAGATACTGGTAAATTTAAAAATTCGATACTAAGATGAACACCAGTGAACAGATCACAGAGAATGAACCAAGTATAACCAATTCTATTGAAGCTTCCTGTTCCTCCCCATCTTGAACTTTGTGTTTACCATTTCAGTTTGCTATTGGTTTTGTTACGTAATTTTACAAATGAAATCCTATGTCTCCGTGTATCTCTGAACAATACATAGTCTTGCTTATTGTAGAGCTTTATAAAAATCTCATACTCTAGTCTTCTACAGCTTGCCAGTTCATTTGTATTATCATTATTATAATTAATCCATATGATTTACCATATCTAAATGTATTCCTAAATGATTTTTTATTTAGGTTTTTTGAGCTTTAGAAAATGTTTCATATGTAATTCCTTGCAACTTGTTATGCTGCATTATAACTCATATATGTTCATTTACTTTCAGTTGTATAATATATGGATGGCCATATAACAATATATTTAACTACTGCCTTGTCTGTGATACATCACCTTGTTTTTATTCGGTTTGTTTCAATACCCAGTAGGTGTTGCTATGAATACTTTCATGCTGGCTGAGGGTGTATGTGCAGCAGTGTTTCTCCGGGATATATATCCAAAAGTGGAATTTCTGAGTTGCAAGATTTGTAAACATTCAAAAACAGCATGTCATACCAATTTGTTTCCCCAAAAGCGTTTGATTTTTGGGACAACACTTAGCATTGTCAAACTTCTTTATGTTGTCGATACTGGATATAATGTGGTGTCAGCATCTTGTTTTAATTTGCCTTTCTCTGGTGACACCTTACCAAATTTATTTACCATCTGTGTTGTTGCTTCTCTGAAATGTGTTTATAACTGGAGCAGACTTTGATATTGGATTGTTTGTCTTTTCATATTGAATTTCTGGAGTTCCTTATATATCTTGAAATCCAATTTTTTGTTCATTATATAGGTTGCAAATATCTTTGTAGCTTTTTTTTAACTTTAAATTTTTTTAAAGATTTTGTTTTTATTTATTTTATACAAGAACTGGGGTACAGGTCAGAACTGGGAGGGTGAAAGAATTCACCAGAGCCAGAGCGGGGAGCAGAACAGGCAGATGGACCAAAGACACTGCTAAGGTGAGCAGCAGGCGAGGCAGGAGAGGTCTGCCGCGCCATGTGGAGTTCTCCCTGGCAGGCGGGGAATCGTACTGGCGCTGCAGAGGCTGTGGACAGCTTTGCAGTGCGGCGCTCAACCGCTGCGCCACTGGGAGGCCCTCACTTTAATTTTTTTTAATCAACAATTTCTCAATTTAAATGCAGTCAAGCCTATCCATCTTTTTATTGTAGCTTTTCCTTCCTTGTTGATACCACCTAGCCTCTCAGCTACCTTTCTTGGGTAGGAAACTCCTCCAGAGCAAAAACTGTTCTGGTACTGGGCTCACCTGTCTAGGTTTCCATCTTCATGCTGCTAAGTCCTTATGATCTTATTAGCACCTTAGTTAATTCTAGGTGATTTTTTTTTTCTTCATATTTTATAGTCATCCTCAGCTTGAACATAAGTCTGAGCTACAAAGTAGTTGCCTACCATTTTCCTTTTTTTTTTTTTTTTTTTTGTAGGGTAGAGAGCACTGAGTATTTTCTTATTTCCTAGAAGCCCTGCAATGCATTTAAAAGTTTGAATCATTCACCATCTGGTTGTTGAAAGAAGAATGACTTTCAGAATCTCTTGTTCACTGTTTTGCCAGAAGCAGAAGTGCCTCTTCCCTTTTCAAGCTTTTCACAAGTCTGCCCACATAGAAAACTGATATGATATTGGAATAGTGATTGGAATAGTGATCCTTTTGTCTGAAACATTCTTCTCCTTCTGTAACTGACCAAATCCTTCCAGGTCAACTGGAAGGCCCCTCCTTTACTGTATTTTCTCAACCCTATCAGTTGGTCTGTGTGCTACTTGGTTTCTGCCTCCATTCTATCCTGACCACAGTCTGTGCTTCTTTGCACTTAATGAAGAGTATGTACATTAGTTTTCTTTTGCTATTCTAGCAAGTTACCACAAATTTGGTGCCTTAAGCAACACAAATTGTAAAAACTTAAACTGTGGGTCAGAACTCTGGTATGGGTCCCACTGAGCTAAAGTCAAGGTGTCAGCCAGCTGTGTTTCTTCTGGAGGATCTAGAGGAGAATCTCCTATCACATTCCTTGGCTTATGCCCCTTTCTTCTATTTTCAAAGTAGATAACAGTAGGTTGAGTTCTTCTCTCTGATTCTCTGACCACAACTGGGAAAGACTCTTCTTTTAGGGACTCCTGTGACTAGATTAAGCCTGCCTGGATAATCCAGAATAATCTCCCCACCTTAAGGTCCTTAACCTTAACTGCATTTACAAAGTCCCCTTTGCCAAAAGACCTCCACTGATAAGTTAAAATATCTTGAAGGATCATTTTTTGAATTAAATTAATTAAGTTTGCTGACTGCAAGAAATACTCTTAATTAGGTGTTTGAAATGCATACTAAATTTATAAAATAACAATCAGGCTTAGTGATTGGAAGCTTGCGTTTTATTTCTGCTATCCTTTAAGTTTGCCCTAAAACTCTGTACTCAAAGTTTCTTCATATTGTTTTTAAGTATTAACAGAATTCTCCAGTTATTTTCTCTTTAGCATATTAGTTGGTGTTACCTTAAATTTATCATTCGGCTGTTTTCCCTTTCTCACATCATAATGAAGAGTGCTATGGTTTGGGGAGTTTTCTCAAATTGATTCTAGTATGAATAAATCATTGCTTAGACTTGCTATTAGTTGTTTAAAACAAAACAAAACAAAATAAAACATGTCCCTGAAGAGAATTTAAAAAAAAAAAAATTCCTTGACTTTATGCAATCACATCCCTAATGTTCCAAGAAGTAAATATTGGAATTTGTATACTTTCCCATAAATGTATTATGTATTTTCTTATTAGGAAAATACTAATGAATACAGTAAACATTGATTAAGATCATGCTGCTTTACATTTTACAGTGTTACCCAAGCTTTTTTCCACATTAAACGTTCAAGGCCAAGTCTATTAAATTTTCCTTGTACCACCCTCCCCATCTTCACCACAAACCAGCAGCCTTTCTATATTCCATTTTTCTGTGAAAGGCACAATCACTTGCCCAGTGACTCATCTGACCTCTGAGAAACATCCCAGGCTCCTCTCTAGTCCTCAGAACTAATTGCTCAGCGCATCTCACCTCCTCTTATGGCCCTCCACCCTGAACTGTCATTGTTTCCAATCTGGCCTCCTCACCTCCGATCTTTATCCACTCAGTGCTGTGAAATTATTGTAAATCTGACCCAGTAATTCTCCTAAAGATGCTTTAGGGCTATCCATCTTCTTCAATATACAGAGCAAGCATTGCAACATAGTATTCAAAGTCCTTCTGGATCTGACTGCTGCTTACATTTCCAGTTAATCACTCTCCAGGGCCTTATACATGTTCCTCAATGCAGCTGTGCTCAACCATTTGTTACTTTTTTTTTTTAAGATTTATTCATTTATTTATTTATTTATACAAGCACTGGGTAGGTACAGTCAGAAGCGCAGGAGGGTGAGAGAATTCACCAGAGCCAGAGCAGGGAGCAGAGCCGGCAGAGGGACCGAAGTACACTGCTGAGGGGAGCAGGGGTGGCAGGAGAGGTCTGCGCGCCATGTGGGACCCTCCTCCAGTGGCCGGGGAGCAGCCAGGGATCGAACCGGCGCTGCAGAGGCTGCGGGCAACTTCGCAACCCAGCGCTCAACTACTAAGCCACCTCAACCGCTAAGCCACCGGGGAGGCCCAACCATTTGTTTTTCTGAGAGCACCATTTATTTCCCTTTGAAATTTTCCCTTATTCACTCCTTCCTTCCTTCCCTCCTTCCCGCCCTTCTTTCTCTTCCTTATTTTACTTATTAGCATGGAATGTATTCCTTATCAGTAAGTAAAGAGCTACCTTAGTCTTTTTGAAAGTTTGACAGCTGCTCATTTTAGTTATTCTGTTCACTGTTGGGGGCATTTAAAGTTTTTTGTTATTACCCCCCAAGCTTCACTAAATCTCTTCATACACATTAGTCTTAATGTAGTTATATCTGTAGAATATATTCATAAAGGGAAATTGTAAGGACAAGGAAAATGTACTTTTGATAGGTACACCAAAGTGTCCTTAAAATTGTACCAATTTATATTTCCCTAACTCCCCCAACTTAAAAAGTAAGCTTGCTTTTTCACATTCTTACTATTATTGAGCATATATCAATTATTTGATTTTTGCTCATCTGATGGTTGAGGGGACAGACTCTCATTTTAGTTTTAATCTGTATTTTTTCACATTTTAAAAAAGATTTTATTAATTTATTTTTGCACAAAAGGCCAGAGGTGCAGGGTGTAAGAGGATTCACAGAGACAGAGTGGGGAGCAGAACAGGCAATTCACTGAAATACACTGCTAAGGGGAGCAGTGGGTGAAACAAAAGAGGTCTGCTGTGACATGTGGGTTAGTTAGTTCCCTGGCTGGGGATTGAACTCAGGTCACCCTGGAGGGCCTTCACAGTGGCAGCGCTGAGACTTAACCCCTAGGCCACCTCTCTCACATTTTTCATTGTTTTATGAAAAATCTGCTATATACAAAAGGAGCTATGTTACATATTAAATAAATTTTAAAGTACAATAATCCTATAAAAACTTATTTATCTATCTCCCGGTATAAGAGATTATTACTAACAGCATTGAACCTCAAATGGACAAAGCCACAGTAAAGTTGAAAATAAGTAGTATCCAAGGATATCATGAGTTTCCAGAAATTATTGTGCCAACAATGTGCTATGTGGATCCCTGAGGCTATTGTGCCCAAAGGTATGCCACACAAATGCCCAGAAGTCAGTCTTAGATGCAGTTCAAAAAGGAATAACCCACAGCAGCCAACTCAGTACTATCTCTACTTGCTACAAAGAGGTTGAAAGTTCTGTATTAGAGTCCTGGGGAAGCCTAATCCATCCATATGGCTCATTGGGATGCAATGTCGAGTTCAAACACCGCCAGAAATCTCATCCAACACAGAAGACTTGGCATTACTACCTGAGGTTAGCTTTTCATTGCGGCCACTAAACATGCCAAGTATTAAAACTCAGCGATGTTATCGAAGGTATTCATCTGGAATTATGCCAAGAACCCAGAGATGCTTGAGTGTTGCTCCAAAACTTAGCTTCTGCTGCCCATAAAAATATGCACAGAGAATAACAGCAAAGGAAAGCAAGGCTGCACGCGTTTTT